TTGTTTGACACCAGATGATCTACAAAAAAAAAAAAAAAAAAAACACCCCCACGTACGATCTGTAAATCCCGACACACGTTCACCTCTTCTTCCGTAGCTGCAGACTTTTCCGGTGACATTTGTCTGACTTTGTTTTAGCAGAAATATTTACACTGCAGTACGAGCGGCTGACTGGTTTCACAGGTATGATTAAAGCGTCTTAATTAAACGGCTCATCTGGATTTGTTCCTTATCGTGCTCGGTGCCTTCATGATGTGAGGGGATTTGGGTGAAGACACACACACACACACACACGTACACACTCCCCAGGCTGTCAGGTAGCAGTGACTGGAGCTGCTGCATAAATACTCCAACGCCAACATAAACTCTGCCAACATCTGAGAGTGTTTGTGTTAACGGCTCACACAGACGTAAATGAGCAAAAGTTTTTACAAGTGTGGAGGAGGTTTGTTTAAATGTAGCTCCAGAGTTTTTCCAGGGAGTTTGGTTTGTTGGTGTTTATCAGAACTGAAGCACGGAGATTAGGAGCCTAATCCCACCCTGGCTCATTGGCCTGATGTTTACGGCTTCATTAATTGACTTTTTTTTTAAGGATAAATCTTTTTTTATATATCCTTGATTTGAACAAATCCGATCTCAGATCTGTTATGGTTTTAGGCCCAAAGCAGAAGATTGAATTTTGTTATGAAATTTTACACATGGGCAAAATGACATGCACTGTACATCCACTTGGTGTCGCTCTAAACACGGACGATACAAATGGATTATTCTCAAATCAAAACAGATGTGAGACACAAACATCTACCTGTAAAAATGTGTCTTTCTTTTACAACAATATACAGAATATATTGTCATCATAAATGTTGATTTTTCTGTAGTTAAATCATGAATAAAAGTTAAAACTACTCTTTTTTTTACTCAGCTGGCGATTCTTTTTTCTTCTCTTCTGTTCTTGTGCCGCAGGAGCCACCGAGGAGCCAGAGGTCATCCCTGACCCTGCGAAGCAGACGGACCGGGTGGTAAAGATTGCAGGAATCAGTGCTGGTGTTCTAGTCTTTATTCTGCTGGTGTTGGTTGCCATCCTTTTGGTCAAGAAAAGGTGAGTGATGAGTCTCAGTGGTGAACAGTGAAACTGTGTTTGGAGTCATGTTTTTAACACCAACACGCACGCCGGTGCACGGACGCACCCACACCGGCGTGTGAATCCGTGCTCTCGCTGCGTGTTGGTCCCCGGGCGGGCCGGTGTGAATCCGTGCTCTCGCTGCGTGTTGGTCCACGGTCGGACACCATCCTCCATCCATCCACCATTAACCTTGATCTCCCTTCAGGACCGCTCTGATCATTGTCACATGTGTTTATAAAACAGAAAACCTTTTATAAAAAAGGCTTTTTTATTTTCTCTTTCTTTTGATTTATGTTTAATTTTCTTATTGGAGTAAAAGTAAATAAAAAGATAAATAAAAAATTAAAATTAGTCAAAAACACTCAAAACATCTGACCTCAGTTAGACATGGATGTTCACAACAAAACAGTTCAATTAACTCTACAGATTAAACTTGAAAACAGTTACTTTAATTACAAAAAAAAAAACAGAATTATTTCCCTTGTGGTTTATTTTGCTCCTGATGTTTCACACGTGACAACCGTGGATCGTGTGGTGTTTAATTAAGAAGTTATCAGACAAAATAAAATTAAAAAAAAGAGAAGGATTCTTACTGATTCACCTGTAGAGTTAGAAGAAGGAGCAGAGCTGAAGAGCCAACTGGCTTCCGTTGTTATTTGGTACACAGCTCCATCATGTGGTGGAAATGAGAGTCACACGTCAAAAGGCTTTAGTTCCATAATTGTCACCAAACCAGAAACATAGCTGTGTTCAGTTGTCTCAGATACTGTTATTAAACGTTATTAATTTCAACATCAGAACTGTAGTTTAGACGTGGATGTCAACACAACACGCAGTAAACATCTAACACTACCCATGATGCTCAGCTCAAACAAAAACTAGATAAATGACCCTTTAATAAACTTAGAAATCAGAGATACTGTATGTTCACTAAATAATTCGGGGAGAAAAAATTTATAAAATTGCAGATAAACCAAAATTGTAAATGTCTGACTGACCTGCCTGCGGTCCAGATCGGTCTCCTGTTTCAACATACTACCAGCAAATATGTACCATTTCCCAAGCGTTGCGTGTGTAGCTAACACATCCTCAAGACCAGAGCAGTAGAACCCAGATGACATCGTTGGTCTCTAACTCTAACTGTAGTCATCTTCGTTACACGTGTTTTTGGCTGCTGACAGGAAACACTGGCTGTCCTCTGAAGAGTCAAGCCTCCTTTTACTGCCAGAGGTTTTACAACCTGACAAGGAGAGAGAAAGAGACTTTAATTTACCATGGCTCTCTCTCACAAATCAAAGACAATTAGAGGCGTTAAATCACAGTCAGAGATGAAGACTCATTACTGGAGATCTCTGCGCTCTCAGACCCTGACATGCATATTTCTCTTCTAATGCCTGTAATGAATTCATGTGATCCAGCGTCAGTGCCGTCGCTTTAGTGTCAGAGTGTAATTGTTAATGACATCCTGAGGGCCTGAGCGTTAAGTGCAGACGATAAATATTTTATTTTTAGCCGGGAAAAAAAAAAAAAAAGAAGAAAAAAAGAGCCTGACGGTGTTTGATCCATAGTTTGCACTCAGCGCTCTGATCGCGTTTCAACCCAACGTTATCTGTCCCCGGAGGATTTTAGGTCGTTTGATTATAGAAAATTGGAGCAAATTGAGAAATAATGCATTTTCAGGAGGCAACGCTTGCGCACGACTCGGTGATTGCGTGCGACGCCCGCAGGATTCGTCTGTTGTCGTTTTATGAGCAAAGTGAATCGTCGAAGCCGCTCTCATTTATCAGCGCCTCGGGCGACGTGTTGATAAACATTAGCGGCTGACGGCTCAACTCTTCAGCGGTGACGGCAGAGTTTCCGTCAAATGAAGCGATGGGAGAAACGTTCTGACCTCTGACCTTAGAGTCTAAAACATCTGTTATCAGCCCCAACAACTAAACAGGAACAAACAAGAACTTGAAGTTCTTTAATGAATGACGTGATGTGCAGAAATATTTATATCCTTTCTGTTACAAAGACCGGTGTTTTGTTTTGTTGGTTTTTCCTTCAGCGTATGTATTGACCCATGATCGTAGCAGTGGTCATTTCCATGAAGCTTCCTGGGGAGATCAATCTTCATTCACCATTAACCACTTTGAACAATACTGCATCTTTAAAATAGATGGTGGGACGTGATGACATCGCTGTGACATCACGACTTGCTCCACACAAAGCGAGCAGATGTTGTGGCAAGAAAAAAGCCAATAAAAACTGTTAGCTGTCAGGACCTGTGACGATTGGTCAGTCAGGGCGGTTCCAGGAACTGCAGCTTATTCTAACTGCATGAGAAACCGTTTTGTTTTCACACGACGAGATGAAAAACAAGAACCTTTTTGTTGCTTTGTTGTTATTTTAGTTTTCTCTAGATTATATTTTCTCTTGGAAAATTCGAACTAAAACAAAAAGAAAAAAAAAACCAACCCTTGCATGAGCCTTTAGTTCAGTAGCAGTCAAACGGTGTTGTCTTCTGTTTCTGTTGTTGGGACAGGACCGTATTGTCCTTATTTGCATATTCATGACCCTTGTGTCTCACTCTTTGCTCTCTGATTGGCTCTCCCCCCACACCCCCCCCCAGGAGGACCTACTATTCATACTCTTATTACCTGTAAGTAAACAAACCAGCAGCTCAATCAGCTCACCCAGCCGCTGTATTCTGATTGGGCCAGTTTCTCACTAGTGGCTAGTTGTTGTTATTTCTTTTAAAGATGCAGTATACTTTTTTCAAGACAAAAAAACGCATTTTCAGCTCTGACCAACCAACCAGCCAACCAAAGTCATCCTCATTGATGCCTTGCCAGTGCAGGGGTTCAATTCACTCTCATGTCAATTCAGGACTTTCATGAATTCCTTACAACCGACACCTCTGTTGTTTTTGTCTAAAGACGACTCTCAGATCGATCCAGATCAGTACAACATCCATGGTTTGTTGTGATCCATCGTATCACATAAATCCAGAGCGATTAAATGTTCATATGAAACCACTGAAGTGACGGTGAATTGACCTCAGGCCCGGTTCTCTCCACGTGCTCCAGAGTTAGCTCAACAGGCTCAACCAGCGTGCTGTTTGAAAAAAGAATGCTGCACTTGTGACTCGTAGCTCTTTGTGTGCATGTAGTCATGTGATCATCCATCCGCCCATCAAGTCACAGGTATCGTGGTAACTGGTGTCTCTGGTGTCAGTGGAGCGGGGACTTGGATCTTCTCCTTGGGGACATGTAGAGTCAGGGTTTGTTTTGGCTTTCACCAGGTTTACCTTTTTGTTTTTACCTTCTCCTTTAATCCCTCCAGTGTTTCCACTCTCTGTTCTGCCGTTACGGTCACGCACTTCAAAGCTGCGATTAACGTAACAACGCAAACTCATTTTTAAAGCATAAGAAAAAAAACAAAAACAAAAACAAAACATGTTTTCTTCTTCCCAACAACAGTAGAGTATGCACATATTTTGACTCAGTGTTAAAAAAAACAACTTGCAATTCTGCCTCTTTCCTGCAAGGGGCGCTGTTGATATTGATTAAAGTATAGAGATACACAGTTTTTGTTTTATATATTTAAATCTTGTCGTTTGACTTTCGAAACTTTTCTTACTCTTAGATCAGGTGTGTGTGTGTTGGATAACTTCAGTAGGTAAAGCCATATATTTCCTAATAAAGGAGCACTTGCTTTTTGAAAGTTCCTATAGCAAAGAAAATGCTTTTGTACGATTCGGTGCTTTTTCTTTAGGATATTTTTGCATACTCTACCTTTAATGAGGCACCGAACAACTATGTTGACACATGGTCAGATCCTTCTGTTATCCTGTCAATCAGTCAGTATTTAGTCCGTTAGTGAGTTTTCACTGTGTGTGACCTTCGAGGTGGCGTTGGTGTTTTGGGGTTTAAGAGGTAAAACAACAGCAGAGCGCAGCCCTGCACTCTGTCAGAGCCGTACATGGTATCAGTCTGGCAACCATGAGAAAATACATTTCTTAATCCATCCTCCTCCTCCTCCTCCTCCTTCATCATCTGCTACAGTCTTTTGGCCTGGCAGCTGTAGAGAGTTTTTTTGGGTTTTTTTGACACACATTCTCTGTGAGTTTACTGTGGGAACAGGCTGTCTGTCTGTCTGTCTGTCTGTCTGTCTGTCTGTCTGTCTGTTCACCAGCACAGATGTTGTCTTTGCTGATACATATCTACGGCTCTGAACACACTGTGTTCCTGCATGGTTTGTCATGTTTGAAAATATTAAACCCTCCGCGGTTGTTTTTTCACGCAGTGAGGGAGTTGAACCTTTAGGAGATCTGTGGATGTTTGGAGGTCAAACTGTGAGGCAGACTGACCAAGATGTTGTTCCACACTTTGAACTTTGGTGGTTGTTGGTTTGGTGTATGCTCCTACCTTTGGCTCTTTGAAAAAAACAAAAAAATCTGTCAAAACAACATGTCAGTCTGGTGGTTCTTGTTGTTGAACTGTCAGATGAAAACTGAATTATTTGATATAAAGAAATAAACATTTCCAGATCTAGAACACAGGTTTTATTTATGCTTCTGATCTGACGGCACTTTTTAAAACATGAGGACAGTGGTTCCCAAAATGGGGGGCGGACCCCCCACTTTGGTCAGCTGTCCAGCTGACAAATACGTTTTAATGAGGCGCAGGGGAGAACAGTCTTTTCTGCTTGACTCCAGCTCATTGGTTTATTCCCTCAGATGCTACTGCCCCGTCTGGTCACTGCTGACATTGCCGTGAAGAGCTTCTCCTCTTCTTTCCTTGCTTGTTTTCTCCTCTCTCTGACTTCCTTCTGTCCATCTTTAGTCTGATTCTTTCCCCCCTTCTTTCCTGTTGGTTCTGAACTCTTGCATCTTGACTCAGAAGCCTGCAGCCCTCAGCTGAGCTCTCCTCACCAAATCATAAAGACGTGCGTGGTGTAGGATCCCTGTGCATGGCTGATGGGACATGGGGCTGTGTCCTGCAGGACAACTGATGTCTGGCTTTCTGTCAGAGACGCCGCTGACTGTCTGTCCCTGTCTCTGCCCCCTCCATAGAAAACTGGCCAAAAAGCGCAAGGACGCCATCGGGACAGCGCGCCACGAAATGGCCCACATGGTGAACGCCATGGACCGCAGCTACGCCGACCAGAGCACCGTTCACGGAGAAGACCCTATGGCTGTGACCTTCATGGACTCACACAACTACAACAACAGATGTAGGTCTACTCCTCTTTGGACTTCTTTTTTTATTTACCTACAGTACCTTTGAAATAGTGAGGTCAGAGGTCAACACAATACTGACGTTTGTTATGTTCTAACCCCGTCATCCTGTCTGAGTACAATCTTGGTCTGTGAAGTGTTTCCTGACGGTGTTTCCTTCTGCAGTGCCCAACGACCCTCTGGTTCCTACGGCCGTGTTAGGTGAGACATGGGTCAATGTACAGTATTCCATCGATCGCCTCAGTAGAGACCACTCATCACTGCCCCCCTGTGGTTGACCCGCCCCACATTCATTTGTCAGACGTGTGTCTTATCACTCCTTAGTTCCATCCTCGGTTGATTCCTCATGTCTCTGACATTTATTCTTCTTCCGGTTGTTAGTTTGATACCGTTAGCTTTATCTGTTAGCTTCATCTTGAATCTCAAATGCTAAACTGGCAACTGACAGATTCATGAACTAACTAATTTCTTTCTTTGACCGAATGATATGTAAAAAAAAAAAACGCTCACTCCTCCTATCAGACGTAGATCCTGTTTCTCGTGGCATATTATTGATATTCACAGTAATTACCGTCACTCTCCCTCAGAGACCTCGTTATTTCTGTGGCTTCGACGTGTCTTGAGGCAAAGTGAAGCTTTAAAGTAGTCGGACACATTTTTTCCCCATTGCTGCCGTAGAACGGTTGCCAGTGACACCCAGTGACGACAGACATCCTCGTCCCGTCGGTCTGGACGTTCTCCTCCAGGTTCTACCATATGTTCTACTCCCCAGGCTTTTGTTTTTTATTTATGTTGTCGTGACGCCTGAGTCTGAACCACAAACCCTTACGTGTTCTTTCAGATGTTTCTCCAGCTGCTCCGCTCTACTACTGTACTCTACAAAACCCTCTAGTGTTGACACCGCAGCATTACATTTCCCGTGTCGCCCACACCACCACAGTCCGTTCATTAACTCTGCTGTGGTCCTTTTTTTTAATTTAATATGATAGCTGCACTTACGAGCCGCCCCCCTGCCCACCCCTCACCCCCACCCTTCACATCACCACAGTGTGAACTGGCAGCAAGCAACAAATTAAGAGGCTTCGTCAGGTCAAGTTTACAGTTAATTGACCTGACGAGGGCCGGACGTGCTCTGAACAACGGTTAATGAGTCAGCGAGTCCTCGGGGCGATGATGAAGAACCAGTCGGATTAAAGAGGTGGTGTCGTCTGATGAAGAGCGCTGGAGACAAAACCAGTGGGTCGTGTTGAAAACCCCGGGCTGCTCCATTAGTCAACCTGTCAGTCTTTACATTAAAACCGCCGACTGGGCTCGTCTCCCACCAACCACAGATTATATTATCATAATATATCTGATCGTTAATTAACTGCAACTTCAGTCACTTACTGTGAAAAAGACAACCTTCATTTTTTTTTTTCATTTTTGTTACAGCATCAGAACTGTATCTCATCATCACCCGTGTGTGGTCCCGGCCCATCATTCACTCTCATTTTTGATGTTCCATTTTGAATTTTTATTCCAAGTATTCGAACATTTTCACGTGTGTCTCTTACGCTGCAGTTTGACCAAACGTTTATCTTTTTTTTTCCTCTATTTTTCTGCTTCTTTGGCTTGTAGTTCCAATCACAGGTGAGTGTGAAGGACAGAGACTGATTGAGACTGAGTCCTTTCAAAATAAGACTTCCTGTTGTTGTGTGTGTTGTTCAGGCCTGATTTAAGACGTTTAATTTTGCTCTTGGACGTCTCTAAACCTGTGATGACACACGATGTTCCTCCTGTCCTCTTGCAGACGAGAACCACACCGGTTCCGCGGCGGAGAACAGCCGGCTCCTGGACATTCCACGGTACCACTGTGAAGGCACCGAGTCTCCGTATCAGACGGGACAGCTCCACCCTGCCATCAGAGTGGCCGACCTGCTGCAGCACATCAACCTCATGAAAACATCCGACAGCTACGGCTTCAAGGAGGAGTATGAGGTGAGGTTTGACTCCGGTTTCCTCCGCCCGCGGCGGCCGCAGCATCGACCGCTCTGTTATTGGCTTAGTTAAAAACCGTGACACTGATGATTTCTAATGGAAGATAGAACTGAGGCGGAAACCTCTTTGATTTTATAGCTGGATTAAATTTGTTGTGGGCTAGAGCTGCTGCTGTTTGGCTGTAAAGGGTGAATTGCTGTTTAATTTGACAGCGTTTCTGCCTCATTGACGGAACAGTAAAATCCTGCCGCCGCTGCAATAACACTCACCAGATTTATAACTCGCACAAAAACAAGCAAACACCAGAGTAACACCATCATCTCAGAGTCAGAAGAATCCAGAACCTGTTGGTTTTAATCTCTGTATTTTTCCGCTCTGTTGATGGTCCAGAGTTTCTTCGAGGGCCAGTCGGCTTCCTGGGACGTGGCCAAGAAGGAGCAGAACCGCACCAAGAATCGCTATGGAAACATCATAGCATGTAAGTATGAGGTGAACTCTATAGATACTGCACTATAAACTACTTCACTATTTCTCACATACCTTATTTTCGCACAGCATCCGTAGATAACTGCACTATAAACTAGTTCACTATTTCTCACATACCTTATTTTCTTCAGTCTCGGTCCAGTCGTACTCTTTGTCATGACGTCCTGTTAAAGTCTTCTTCTTCTCCCCCCTCCCTGCCCCCCCCCCCCAGATGACCACTCTAGGGTTATTCTTCAGCCCATCGAAGATGACCCCTCCTCTGATTACATCAACGCCAACTACATCGATGTAAGTGGAAACGCATCGAATGCTACTATTGGCTCCCAACGAAACCAACGAAACCACACTCCCTCGCTCGTATGTCAGGCCTCTATACCTATTATTGCGTCTACTGGTCATCCATCGACCCATTTTGACTCATCCAACCATCTCAGAAAATACTCCATACATGCAGTTCGGCATGTGTCTTCTCACTCATCCATCCATCCTGAATACTCATGAGTATTTAAAAAAAAAAAAAATCAAGTATATTTAAGTAGTATTTTTTGTCTGTATTTGAAGTCAATTCTAGAGAGATTACACCGTAGCGATAACGTTGAAGTGATAAGGATTCTGATTGGTTGTCTGTCTAATTCAAAGTGGTTTGAATCTGTTCTCCTATTGGTTCAAGCCTGAGTGTGTCCATCTTCTGACTGGTCCATCCAGGGTTCCATTACTCACCCTTCATCACCTCCACCAATCATCTGCACGTGTGTCACTGTGCTCATTAATGCTGCTGTGCTTTTGTAGCATGCTCTTTCTCTGTAGCCATTAGCTGCTAATTGTAGCCGCTGCACGTGTGTTTGTGCTCATGTTTAACCAGAAATCTTAAAAAAAAAAGTTCTTTCTGCATGTTTTTTTTTCCATTTAACCATTATGTCAATGCAACTTTTTATTTTCTTTTATTCTGATTGACATTCACTGACATTTTTGTGCTTTCTTCTTCCCTTCCTACCTACCTTCCTTTCTTCCTTCCTTCCTTTCCTCCACTCCTTCTCTCTGCCTGTGCCTTGGCCTGTAGATTTGGCTGTACAGGGATGTAAGTATCACTGTGGACTCTCTCATTCACGCCCCTCACCTTTTCACACCCACACATCCGTTCACACTCTCGTCTCCACGTGCATCGCGGTCACTGTGAATGTTTAAGCTTTGAGCGACAGGAGCCCCCTGCTGCATGAGATGCTTCACTACATCCCGTCCTCCCACCAGTCTTACCCACTGTGAGCCGTACATTTGCTCGTGCGTACTTCCCACGTTGTACTACAGTAGCCTACAGTAAAACCCACCAATCCTGTGTTTCTTTATGTCAAAATGATTATTTAAAAAAATACAAAAATGACTATACATATAAATAACGCATCATTTTACATAACTCAGCATAAAGTGTGTTAGTTTTTAGCATCCCTGGAAAATGTCAAATCGCATATTTATATATGAAATAATGAATGATCATTTATATATGCATATGGAAAAAAATTAAGAAATACATAAACATACATTTTTAAGGATGTAATCTACACTTCTATAGTTATGATAAATTGTTTTGTTGTTTTACTTTCAGGGCTACCAGAGACCCAGTCATTACATCGCCACCCAAGGTAAAATAAATAAATAAATATATATATTTATATATATATAAATGTTTGTTATAGTTAGTATAAATATTACATTTCTTTTTTCTTTTTTTTTGGAAAAAACAAAATAACTATGTATGTGTGTCTGTGTGCAGGTCCTGTTCATGAGACTGTGTACGACTTCTGGAGGATGGTTTGGCAGGAACAGTCAGCCTGCATAGTCATGGTAACCAACCTGGTGGAGGTGGGAAGGGTGAGTGACAAATAATTATAATAAATTTAAAAACAAAATCATCATCATCATCATCATCCAGCATCAGGCAAAAAAAAAACCTATCCAAAAACCTCCATTTTCTGGAGTTTTGTCACCTGAACATTAAACCTACTGGATTCATCTTCGTTTAAACCAGTGGTCTCAATGTGCAGGTCGGCGCCCTCTTGTGGAGCTCAAAGCTATTGCCGAGGGCGCAGCTGCACAAATGCATTTTAATATGTACTTCATTTGGGCCCACAGTATGAGAAAGTATTCATAAGTACTGCATCCACCAACAGGTCAAGTGCTACAAGTACTGGCCGGACGATGCTGAGGTTTACGGCGACTTCAAGGTGACTTTTGTGGAGGTGGAGCCTCTCGCTGAATACGTCATTCGCACCTTCACACTGGAGAGGGTGAGTTTGGATTATTTTATTGGTGTTATTTCCTGTTATCTCATGTGCAGCGGAACACCGACCTGAATCTGAACATCTGTCCGTGTGTTTTCAGCGTGGCTTCAATGAGGTGCGTGAGGTCAAGCAGTTCCACTTCACAGGCTGGCCCGACCACGGAGTCCCCTATCACGCCACGGGACTACTTTCCTTCATCCGCAGAGTCAAAAACTCCAATCCGCCCTCTGCTGGTCCGATCGTGGTCCACTGCAGGTTGGTGTTTTTCCTGGTTAATACCATGGCTCGAGTTCTATTACACGATTAAAGGGTAAATATTCTCTCCTTTGTCAAAACCTAACCTCTGTGTCTGTGTGCAGCGCCGGTGCTGGACGTACAGGCTGTTTCATAGTCATCGACATCATGCTGGACATGGCGGAGAGAGAGGGCGTGGTGGACATCTACAACTGTGTGAAGGCGCTTCGCTCGCGGAGGATCAACATGGTACAGACTGAGGTGACTGCATTACCCATCCTCCATCTGCATCTCTATCTCAGGAAATAAAGTCAGTCAAGCCTGAGTCATGGGCATGGTACCGGCTGAGGTGACAGCCAGGAACCATGTAACTGTCATCCATTCATCAGCACGCCCTCCCACTCAGTGTAGCTTTCATTGTCAGGATATTACAGTGACCTGGAGAAAGGTAAAAAAAAAAAACCATCATCATCCCTCACACTGCTTTTGTAAACGATACAATGGCACCATCTCGTGGTTACTTTGTAACTTAGCTAAAGCTCCCCAGTCATGACTTCATTCATCACTCCATCTCCATCAACCATCACTCACCTGCAGCGTCTGTCACTTTAATTTGACAACAGGTTTTTTTTGTTGTTTCACGTGTTTCTCATGTTGCAGTATGTTTGTAATTTATTGTTTGCAAAATAATGATCTGAGGCGGAACGATCCACGTGGACGTAGTGACACGTTTTGACTTGCTCGTCCTCAGGAGCAGTACATATTCATCCACGACGCCATACTGGAGGCCTGTCTGTGTGGAGAAACCTCCATCCCAGTCTGCGAGTTCAAGGCCGCCTTTTATGAGCTGATCCGCATCGACTCCCAGACCAACTCCTCACACATAAAGGACGAGTTCCAGGTAAAATGTTAGGTTTAGGTTCAGAGCTAGACACCGAGATTGTAGGGTGAGGATACTACCACACTGTATGAGTTACATTTTTTTGTGAACAGTGTTGATAAAAAAAAAATTTACGCTATAGAAATCGTTCAAGGTGAGTTCAAATGTCCTGATTTGCAGTGTATGCAGTTTCATAATCCCCTTCTTTGCTTTTGTACATTCAGTAAAAGCTGAAAAAAAATGTCAGGAATTCAATAATGAACTTTTAAGTTCAAAGTTTCTTACAATGTTTTTCAGCTTCTGTAAAAAAGCAGACGCTAAGATAAACATTTGATATAATAATCAGCATCTCCAACCAGTCACTGACTAATCCAACCTACTTCAGTCCCGCTGTGATGTCATACTGAGTTTCCGTGCGTTCTTCTCTCCGCCCAGACGTTGAACTCGGTGACGCCCCAGCCCCAGCCTGAGGACTGCAGCATCGCGTTGTTGCCTAGGAACCAAGACAAGAACCGCTTCATGGACGGCCTTCCTCCTGACAGATGCCTGCCCTTCCTCATCACCATCGACGGCGAGAGCAGCAACTACATCAACGCCGCTCTGATGGATGTAAGTCTGTCTGAACGCGTAGAAATAAAAGGAATTATTTAATTAAAGATTTGTTATTCTCAACACACAGTGCGGCAGTTTGGGACATAATCCATCTTGAAATGAGTTTTATTAATCCAGCAGTTGGATTAGTTCATCCCACAGCTGGTAAATTATTTTGTCGACTGCAACAGGCTGCACTCACAATCACAATTATTAAAATTTAGTAAATTATAAGTAATCAGCTTAACAGCTAATCGTGATTAATTGCAATTTTTGATTAATTGGACTTAATTACCGTAACAGTTAATCATGACTAACTGATAAAACAGTGTTAGACGAGCGTCTAATCATGATTAACTGATAAAACAGTGTTAGACGAGCGTCGTCCTGAGTGTGTTGAGAATAACACACGTTATTTATAGGTTATGATGAACAAACGCTGTTAGTTTTGGGGTTTTTTTGCACATTTATTTTTATGAACCAAACACACCTGCACATACACACACGCAGACTCCCCTCCCTGTTTGTGTGATGCTGTGTCTGTGGTTATTAGCAGCAGAAGGCTAGAGACAAATCCAGGTTCTGAGAAAAGCCTTTAGTTTCTCTGGCCGCCAACGCCAACGGTCAGTGAGTAGGTAGGACTGTAAGGTAAGATAGGAATATCTGGTCACACTTAGTGGTTTTTTTTTTTATTTTATTAATAAGGTTTTCAGCGGCGAGGGTGGAAAGTCTGTATAATGTTTGAAAATGTAACTCATGTATGGTGTGGAGGAGCTTCTCTCCAAACAAAAGTGACGGAAGAAAAACGTTCTGCGAATGCTGTAAAAACATAAAAATAGGTCGTTTTATTTTATAGGAGAAATATTCTTATTTATTTATTTATTTATTTTTTTCAAAGTTTAGCTGAGTTAATCTTATCTTTGGCCTCTCTCTAACCAAGCTGTCAGAAGAGTTCCAGGTAATGGGATTTATGTCAAATCTCCAATACTGGATTTGTTTCATGGCTTCAGTGTCGTTCCACCAGCACAAAACCATTGACCGTGAATCCTGGTCCTCCCAGAACCATGAACTCTCCTCACGTCATTCACCTCCATCTCACATTTTCAGCTGCACATCCTCATCCAGCTGGAGTTTCAGATTATTTTTAATCCTAATCCTGATCCTCGTTAGATCGTGGATTGTCAGTTCTGCGGTCAGTAGGTTCACTGACCTCAGTTAATGTAGACGTTCAGGTCCTCAGTGGACCTGGGATTTCAGTGCATGCTGCTGACACCTGATAGGCCCGCTGCATGATCATGTGACCCGGCATCGCCTCTCCGCTCCTGTGCTCACTGTGTCGTCTTCCACACTCGGTGTTTGTGTACGAGAGGCCAACTGACACATAGAACAGTCCGTGGTAGTCACCGCAGGAGGTCACGCGACCGAGCCAATGGGAGGTTCTGAAGTCCGTGTCTGTGCTGTGTCTTCTGTCCCCTGCAGAGCTACAGACAACCTGCTGCCTTCATCGTTACCCAGCATCCTTTGCCCAACACCGTCAAAGATTTCTGGCGTCTGGTTTACGACTACGGCTGCACCAGTCTGGTGATGTTGAACGAGATCGACCTGGCTCAGGTTAGTCACGGCGTTGATGTCAGTCCAAAAGTTCTAAGATTAACTGAGGAAAGAAAAACACAGTCTTAGAATCTTTCGACTTGTTGACCTTGTTTTTTTAATGTTGTTTTGCTCATGTTTTTCTCCTTGTTTTTTTAATGTTGTTTTGCTCAGTTATATTGAAACGTATTATATACCTGTCTATATCTATGTATTGTTTCTGATATCTAAGTATTTTTTCCCGATACTTCGTCCTCAGGGTTGTCCTCAGTACTGGCCAGAGGAGGGCATGCTGCGCTACGGCCCAGTCCAGGTGGAGTGTATGTCCTGCTCCATGGACTGTGATGTCATCAGTCGACTCTTCAGAGTCTGTAACCTCACCAGGGTGGGTGGAGTTTGACGCCATCGTCCCGCTGTGTTTAGTGTTTCATCTGAGATAGGTTCCTCTGACGCTCCCTGTCATTTCCTGTCTCCTCAGCCTCAGGAGGGTTACCTGATGGTTCGACAGTTCCAGTACCTGGGGTGGGCGGGGCACAGAGAAGTCCCCGCCTCCAAGCGCTCCTTCCTGAAGCTGGTCCTACAGGTGGACCAGTGGCAGCGGGAGGGAGAAGAGGGCGAGGGGAGGACCATCGTCCACTGCCTGTGAGTCCGCGGCTGCTCTCGCGAGGACGAACGCTGTCTCTGTTTGTTAGAACGTCCAAAATCACCCATGTCTTTGTCCCATGTTTACAGAAACGGAGGCGGTCGCAGCGGCGTGTTCTGCGCCTGCAGCATAGTGTGTGAAATGGCCAAGAGACAGAGCGTGGTGGACGTCTTCCACGCCGTGAAGACGCTGAGGAACAGCAAACCCAACATGGTGGACACTCCGGTGAGTTGGACTGAGGGACAGACAGACTGACAGACACACACAGAGTATGTTGGTCTGTGACCGTGACATTGTCTGCGTTCATTTCCAGGAACAGTACCGGTTCTGCTACGACCTGGCGCTGGAGTTCATCGAGTCCTCGTAAAGCAGGGAGCGAGGAAGAGGAGGAGGAGGTGGTGGAGGAGGAGGAGCGCAGTCCTCCCTCCCGGGTGATTTTTTCTGTCCATCTGCTCCTCACTCCTGGCTGTGAAGGCCGTCCTGTAGCATCGCTCTGACAAATGGTACAAGAGGAACCCACAGGGACGTGAAACAAAGGGAATCAGAAGGAGGTGGGAGGAGTCCAGGCCGCTCCTTCAGCTCCTCCATACTTAACACACTATAATTATTGTACAGTGGGCCTCTGTCTGTCTGTCTGGGCCGCCTTTACATCCTGCACCTCCCACCACGACGCATGGACTGGATGCCGTTTCAGCTGCAGTACTTCATCTGCCCTGTAGATGTCCCCACCTCAGCTTTCGACATTGCAAGTTGTAGCAACAGCTTTTAAAAGAACCGCAGCTCCTCAGCACTGCCCCCGCTCCCCCCTGACCCCCCCCCAACCCCTCTGTCTTCCCACCCCTCCCCTATTTTTGGTTTTTTTTTCTACTGAAACGTTAAAAGTTACAGTGCGGCCGTACACCAGCGGAGCCGCCTCCACGTTAATTCACTACACTTGGTGTCGCTCTTCTTTTGCTCACACGCACTTGTTTATCAGTTAAAAAAAAAGATAACGATGTGAAATTATCTAACACATCCAGACGTTTCTTTGCAACGAGACTGACGACAAACCACAAACGTGAGAAGCGTTAGGCTTTGTTTTTGTTTTTTTTTATAACAATATAATGAAGTGGCAACTTTGTCGTGCAGGTCTCTGACCAGAATAGACTTTTGTTGTTGTTGTTGTTTCAGTTACTTTTGTGTCGTACTGTTACATACGATCTGCTGGATGGAGGTTTGTTTTTTTGAAGTCGCCTCCGCTCCACTGCGTCGTACACGTCCATCACTCCAGGTTAGCGTGCAGCCATGTGACATTAGCTTAGTTGTGTTTGATTGGCTGGGGCTGGGCCCAATGAACATTCATTTCAGGGAAAATCCTAAATGTCTTGTGCTTTTCAGGAACAGAGGATTCTGCTGCCCCCACTCCCTATGTTGAGAACCAACATATGTGGCACACACTCCTGTTTCCTTAAAACACACATCCACATTTATGTTTTCCCTGGAGTTTAAAGTGAACTGACCGCCAGGCTTTTATTTGTTTGTTTGTTTTTTTGTTTTTATTTCTGTGCACTGGTGGCCAACCATTTTTGTTACCTTTAATGTTTTTTATTATTCTTTACTTTGCAGCTGATGTTTATCCATAAGCCAAAGACTCTTGTGTAAATATGTCTATATGGAGAAAGCACATTGTTTGTATTTATTGTTTGTTTACTTGCATTGCTCCTATAAGAACAATCATGCTTCATTCCATGTTTACCACCAGGGGGCGCTTAAACTACAGGGTCAGGACGCATATTGGGAGTGTGCAGTGTCTCTGTTTGGTCCGGACTCTGTGGATCATCACTTTGGTCGGCCTGATTTGTGTCCATGAACCAGAGTTTGAGCATCTCTGTTTGAAGCTGTAAATGAAAGCATAAAAGTAGTTTTTCAGTATTTAGGTGGAGTTCAGTGGTTCGTCGTCTGTTTTCACTTTAATGGCAACTCTGTGACGTTACAGTGGTTTATTTGTGTAAAAACCCATCGTTCTGTTTGTGCTCATTAGAAGAACACGAGTGTGTGTTCACAACACTCACACACAAACACACACACAGAGTAGTTTTTTGTTGATTATTACTGTGTTAATTAATTAATTTCTGGATTACAGCTCTAATCCCTCTTAATGTCTTAGTCTGGATTAGCTGTTTATCCTCGCCTTCATCCTAATCTCTGGACACACACTGACTCATAGAGGGGTCGGTGGGTGAAGCACGCAGGACTGTGAAACACACACACAAACACACACACACACAGGTTAAAAACATACTGTGCCTAATGATTTGACGTTCCTTTGGGAAACACGCATTTAAATCACAGCCAGAGCTCAGAGTTTGAATGCACTCTTTTGGACAATCAGTGTTGTTGACAAATGTTGTAGTCTCGTGACCCAGACCTGGACTCGAGGCTCCGGGCCTGGACTACAGCACTGACATCTGAACACTGTTTGGATCTGGACTCAGAGTATTTTATCCACCAGAACGCTTCATAAACTCTGTGAGGCTCCGCAAAGAACGACGGAATTATAGATGTCTATCTGTTTGTTGCAATGGCCGTGTGAAAGAAATGGAACGTGGCCTGGGTTCATGTGCAACCACACAGTGCTAGTGATTTACCCAAACAGTAAAAGAGAAAAGAGAAATTACAAAAAAAAAATTTAGTAGAAGGTAATGGCCGTAAAATATAGTTTAGTAGCCTTATTTATATGACCAGCGAAGGCGCCCTCTTGTGGCTAAATGTCCTTTCCGTCCTTTGTTTAAAGTTTCTTATTGAACAATAAAGGCCACGTCCCATTTCTTATTAACGGTTTGTGCAGGAAGAGGAAGAAGAATCTTTATTGTAAATAAAATATTAGATGTTCCATTTGCTTGGAACAGCCCTGTTCTAAAGGATGTTATTGTAAATAGACATTAATGTTCTCTCTGGTTCTATTGTTGTTGGACAAACAGTAGAGACTGAAATGATGTTGATGACCCAACGTCAGAGATTGTAGTCGTTGAGGATTCAAATATAAAAACTAAAAAAAAAAAGTTTTGACACATTGTTTGAAAACCCTTAGATATTCATACAGAAGTTTATTCTGTTGGTGGAACCTCCATGTTTTTGTTTCTTCCTCCAGATTTCTGGAGAACCTCCGGGTCAGAGATTGGCCAGAGAAAAAACAGAGGCAGTTACGTTATTTCCCCAGTCGTATGTTGCTTTCAGTTGATGAAAAAAAATTCCTGTCAGTCTGTATCGCATGCAGAGAGAGAGAGAGAAAGAGAGAGTTGGTTCCTGAAGGAGAGGTCAGTCTGAGCGTAGAACTGATGTTTATGGTTCATAATTGTTCTTGTCTGTAATGTTTGGCTTCTTTGCTGTAATAAAGAACACTTCTTTAAATAACAATTCCTGTGACTGGTTTGTCATTATGATTTAATCTGGTTAATTAATATCAAACTAAAGCCTGGTTTATCTTCTTGCCCTATAAATCACAGAGGCCACGCCTACTAATCACTATGAGAGACACGAAGTCAGATTTGCAGCTTTTTGAGCGTCATACGAGGTCATACATGCCTTTGGCCACAAGACGGCACCATTTGACGTTTCAAATGGTCGAACGTTTCGGGGTGGGGGACGGGACAACGGTCAATTTTGATTGGATGATAATTTAACCAGGCTTGCCAAGCGGTCAAATGAGATAATATTTTACACAGGGTACAGTGTTGCCAGGTGCACAATAATCATAGTATCTGTAGGATAATTTGACCCACTGTAAAATGTACTAACAACAATCTCGAAAAAGTCCATGATAGTTTGACCATTCCGTGAATGTATGGTTGTAATTAGCGAGGCTCAACTATATGCCGTGTGTTTTTTTTGAGGCTCAACTATATGCCGTGTTTTTTTGGGGTTTTTTTGTGAACCCTGAAGGCATCTGTTTCCATGTGACAAATTACTTTCCAGCCAATTGTGCTATTGTAAACGTGAGCTACGAGTGACGTCCATGATTTTGCCTCAGAACTATGAGCATGATTGGCTGAATAATTCGCTGTTCCTGCCCCACAAGACGTTCCAGTCGGTACTCAACAGTCGTCGATCGACGAAAATTCAAAGAAGAGGAAAGAAGGAAGATTTGCTAAGGGAAAACGAAAAACCTTCGGGGAGGAGGAGGAGGCAAAATAAGATGGTGGAAAAACTTAAAGTAAGAAGCTGTATCACCCATAAACATACACTATAGTAAAGAGTGCTAATTTGCTGGGTGGCTAAGACCTGTTGGTCTCCCGACTTTGAAACCGTACGTAACTTTGTACGTATTTACTGTACTTCGTCCACCTTTTTTCGGGAATACTTTATACTCTTAATTTTGAGTTTGTGTATTTTTAGATTAAGTAAATTTGAACATACTAAATATCTTGATATATTTCTTTCATTTATTTCTATGGACAGATTGACAGATGACGTCAACGACCGCGGCCATCTTTAATAATTTAGAATATGGTGGGCGTGTGCAGAAAAGGTAAGAACGACTGAAGAGATTGTATTCACATGTGCATATATAATGTATATTAACATGTATAGTATATAAAGAAAGTCACGCCACCCATTCACCAGCTCGCCATTTTCTTCAAAAAGTTTAATTTGCATAATTATTTACAACATATGGTAAATAGCTGTATCCAGAGGAGGCAAATATACCCAACCACATTAATAAAGCAGAGGAATAAAACTTTTTTAAAAATTAAAATGGTATAAAGTTGTGAAACCATGTCAAAAACCTTCATTTTGAAAAAAAAAGGAAACAAAGGAAGTTTACAATTGATTTGTAAGTGAAGAGAAGTTGTAAAATGAAATATCGGTGTGAAATCAACCCTATAAACACAAATAGTTCTGCAGAATGTCTGCTGTAATACTGAGCAGCAATGAAACACTAAAGAATACATTCATTTTCACTATCCTGCATGCTATTCTGAATTCTCTTTGAAAAGAATGTGGACAAAGGAAGGTGGAACAAATCCAAACAAAGAGCAGAAAATAGTCCCATTTAATGAGGCAAATATTATATATATATATATTTGTATATATATATTTATATATGTATATTTCTGTACAAATACGGAATATTTGGCATTTATATTTTTCCTCATTATTCATATATCTAACATTTCAAAATAGTTTTAAGATAACCACAAACCTTTTTTTATAATATCAAAGTTTTTTTTTCCTTTTTCTTTTCTCACATTCCAAAAACCAAGGACAGACTCTTAGTTGTTTTTCTGCCCACAGTCACAACACAACAACATTTCTCCAGCAAAGAAAAACTCAATTGTGACTTTTCTCTCTCCTCATAAATTGAGTGCACACATGAAGAACAGGAGCAGCTGATGAAACAGAAACGTGTACTTTTAAATTAAATATAGGATGTGGACGAGACATGGAAGTTTTGGGGTGGTTTCTAGTTAACTTTGGCAACTGTAGATATTGTTGGCAATTTTGAGGTCTCATCTGTGAGAATTTTGCAGCTAATGAATAGATATATTTTGTTGTTACAGGTATTTTTGTCTCCCTTTTAGCAATTGTGTGGCTAACTGTTAGTGTTCTCTTGTTGTTTTATGTGGTATTGGCTCTTTTTTAGCTGTTGTTGGGCTAACTCTTAGTTAGCAGTAATTGTTAGAGGTATCATTGGCTCAATATTAGCATTTTGGAAAGTGAGGATTAAAGCCAACTTGAATGTAAATTAAATTAAAGTTATTGCCAGTAGAACAGATTCACTCGCCCTGAGGTCACATGACCTGCAGGGCGTAATGTCAACCTCACAGCATCACATTTATGAGAAGAGAGAGCCAACAGTAAAAAGACATCTTTGCAGCGCAACCGTGTCATAAACAAGGAGAAAAGTTTTCAGTGAAAGGTTAACAGAGTTGTATGTTAACAGCCCCTTGTCGTGTGTGTATCTGTGTGTAGTGTTTGTAAAATGTTGTGTAAACTAAAAATTTGAGATTTTGATGTCAAAAATATTTAACAGGTCACCAGTGGTGGGCACCCAGTGGCATCACCCTGACCTGCTCTGACTCAAACTGTATGTGTGTGTGACATTATGCCCAGTTTGCAAAATTAGAATTGAAATGAAACCCTGTTGTATCAGATGTATCCACATGAGGGCAGCATAATCCAGACAGACTATTTATGTTAAAAAGAAATCCAATAATACATGGCAAAATTATCTTCTTTTATATTGGTTGTTGTTGTGTGTGTGTGTGTGTGTGAGAGAGAGTACTATTACTGTGGAGACACTTGTCCTTGTGGGGACATTTTGCAGGTTCTGAATGAGTGACGGTGTTTTGGGTCAGATTAGAGTTTGGACTTGGATGAGGTATATATTTTGAAATAGATAATGTTGGGATGTTCTCACAAAACACATTGTATGTGTGTTTGCTGATTGTCACGTGGAGTCTAGAAATGTAAATAGAACAAAATACATGATGAGGACCAGTAAAATCCAGCACCTGTACCTGTACATAATAAAATAGTTTTTTTTAATGGTATTACTCAACGTTCGTAGCCCTATATGTACACATATATGGGGTTTTTTTAAACCTCACTTTGTGTTTGGTTTTATCAAACTGCACTTACGTTGTGGTGCTGTGAAAACTGACTGTATACAAGAAATGGAATTAGCCATGTGGCAAAGAAATCTCGGTGCTGAAGCTGAATCTTTTCAAAGAAGAAATTATTAAAACCTATCATTTCAGTTAGGTACAGTCTATGACTGTAACGTATGATGGACGTGGTGCTTTAACTGTGGTGTTATTATGGTTTTTAATGTGCAGCTGAAGTCCCACTGTGTAGCACACAGTCATGACAAGGACTTCCTGTGAAAATGACTCCTAATACAGTATATCACTGTTTTTATAACGCTTGACTGTGAGGTAAACGCTGAATAACGGAGCCCTACGTGTTATTAAAACACTATTATGATTTTATGGCACAGCATCAAAGAAAAGAAGGGAAATCTGCAGAGATGAACTGATGTTTTGTAACACGCTGCTGAAAATCGAATCCTTCCTGAATATTTTACAGACGGATTCTCCTTGTGCTGCGGTTTTAAACTGTGAAAACATTTGAGTCTGTGTGTTTTCAAACCTTCCACAGTCCCTGCTTCCAGCCCTTTGTACTAATGTTCCAGACAAACTCGCCCAGTACAGATGTGTGTTGCAGTACTTCTACAACCATGATCCAAAAACAGCGGAATCCTAATGTACCTACTGTAAAACCCACTGTAAGGCACCTGAGGATTTGTCATGTACATAGTTGACGATGAAGCCCCCGTGTGGCACGGCCAGACAAAAATGTCAAAACAAGAGAAAAATGAGCAGATGGAACGGAAAACTTTAACCTAAAGATAAAAAAATAAAAAAATGAGAGAAATGTACAACAAACAACGCAACTACAGCAACCAGCAACCAATTGGCAGCAGCATGATGATCTGCGACTCTTTAAAGACGTCTTCAATCCAGCCTCAGTGAGGGGTCACGGGGTTAACTGAGGTTTTTAACATTCTGTCCTCCTGTTTTTAGTCTGAACCTCCACAACAGTGTGTGAACGTTTACGTTCATCAAAGAATCAAACAGCCTGCAGGGAAATTCTCAGTCAGAATGATGTTTCAACTAGATGCTGCACAAATGGACAAACACCTCCACTGTGATGATGATGATGATGATGATGATGATGATGATGATGATGATGATGATGATGATGATGATGATGATGATCATCATCATCATACTGTCGATGGAATCACAGTTTTACAGTCTGTGGGAAGTCGACTTGATCTGAATGACTTTCATTCAGATGGAAGATCATTGACATTGTTTAAAAAGTCTGTTTTACCTTTGGCAGTGACATCATTTACTCTAACAATGACACCGTGACATGGAGAGATTAAGATATTTGAGTAAAGAAAAGGTCAAAGGTCTAATGTGACCTGTCTTCATGTTTCTGAACAGATTAAAAAAAAACTCTTATTAAACTCCATTTAACTGCAACTGGAGAGAAATATTTCCCTCCGTTATTTTAATTGCAACAAAGTGAAAAGACTCATCTTTAAATAATGTGGTGTAATTAAAATGATAATGAAGAAACAGTGGCTTTAATTGAAGTACAGAACTAATTAACTGAGTTTAAATGAAGGTCTATAATTACACAGTCATATGAATCAAAGGAGAACATTTCACATTTTCAATCTCAAGAGTGGAAGTTCCCAGTCACCTGGTCCCAAACCTGTATTGGACCATGGGTCAGTCAGTACTGGGCTTCAGAGCCAGAATAAATAACACTATTATATTTTTTGCATTTATTTGATAATCAGTGTAAAATATGTTTTATTTTGACAAATTATTTTAACTTGATTCTTGATATTTCCAGGGCTTGGTCAAAAAAGGTCAGTGACCTTTGCCCTAACTTACATAGAGTTAAATACAGCAAAAATATTACCTTAATTGATGTACTCAAAAATGTATATTCTTTATTGTATAGTTAAAAATTCTCCTCTCTTAATACTTTTATAAAGATATTTCATAAAATATATTTTTATACAGTTATTATAGTGATGTTGGTATATAGTTATATAAATAGTATTTAACACAGGTCACTGTCTGATGTGACTGCTCTAGTGCTTCAGGATGCATTTTCGTTGTTGACCACAGTATGGCGCTGTTGGACCAGAACTATAATTATAAACCATTGTTGCATTGAGACAAGGACACAGTCGAGGGTCAAACATTAAAAACGTGGTGCTATGTTTAAAAAATAAAATATTACCGATGAAGATTTGCATTTTTTAATATAACACGGCATTATTTAAAATTAAAGCTGACCTGAAACTTGAACCATCTGTTTTCTGTGTGTACCACTTGGTGTCACTGTGGAGCCACTTTTCCAGACCTGTTCGTTTTAAAATTGATATTATAGTTATAATAGTGGAAGAACAAAGAAAATTGTTTCTAAATTGTTTGATTAATTTTATGTGGCTTAAGAAGGTTTTTTTTTAATCTGGGAGTTGTGTTGTGTCAGACATTTTGATCTTTGTCTGTGGTTTGATCTTAGACCATAATACATGGGATTTGAGAAACAAGTCCTTGGATGTAATAATTTTTTTTTCATGAGTTTTGGGTAGAGTTGAGTTTCAGGTCAGGGTTTCAGACTTTTTTTGTTTCGTACAGTAAAACCTCCCTCTGCTCCTTCTTCTCCACAGTTCTCCTGAGTGCTGCTGTAATTATGGGGAACATTAAAGCCTGCACTGCAGCGTCCGCCTACTGGCCCTGCATCGACATTAGTTTTAATTATCTGGACTTAAACTGACAAATGAGGATGAATGGCAGTGTGTTCTCTCCCTTTGGGGTATAAAATAGGACCCAGTCTCATAGACTGGGGGCAGCATTTTGCCTCTGGTTTTGCATGAGGCAAGTCAGATTTGAGAGTGAGGGTCAGTGTTAAAGCAAGGTTGTGACATAGATGGTATGGACTAGTGGCCCTCAGTTGGTATCCCTTGTCTAGTCAGTGAGCCACATTTTGCAGGCTGCAAGCTTATGTGATGTGAGGCATGTATAACTGGTCTGTTAGTGAGAACAGAATTAGTTTTTAGAATGACCTTCAATTGAAATACTGAGTTCCTTCATTCATTGGGACTATTTTTGAAAAGGAGTTTTTTTATGTTCTACACAGATCTCCTCTTTAGCACCACCAAGTGCTCATCCTGTACATTTTTTATAGGCTATTTATTTTTTCTTTAATTTTTTTTTACATGAATTAATTAATTTTATATTTCTGTGACTTTTAATAACAGAAAATGAGAATTAATTATTGGTAAGATTTAATTTTTGTGTGAGTGCACGTTCATTTGCAGTGAAAGTCACTACAGTATAAGCAGGGGAACCAACTATAATCATGCCAAAGGCAGTAGATTAATTAGAGCCGGCACTGGTCACTGGAATGTCAGATTTGAAATCCATCCCAGCAAACAAAAAGAAAAAGATGTATTCAATTAAAAAAAAAACTTTTCTCCTTATTTTTATCACCGAGGCTCCAGAGCGTTGCAAAGATGATCTTTTCTAAAGTCACAATTCCATCACAAGTCATTGGAGAGAAGATGGGCACCATAATAATAAATCTCTGTTTAAAAAGTCCTTGAGTGAGTGAATGTGTGTGTGGTTTGTGTGTGTGTGTGACTGTGTGTGTGCGTGCACATAGGACTGGGTAAAGGACAACAGTTTTCAGAGTAAAAAGCAGCACCATTGACTATAGTAACTGAATATTGTTAAAGTGTCATTTGCACCTGTCTTTCCTAGACTAACATGAGCAGACGGAAATAGAAACAAGTGGTTGGTCGTTATTTTCCACTTGGAACAAAAGTTTGGATGCAGTGTGTGGCACGACACCATCACGCAGGTCGTGAATCCTGTTGTCCCACAACTGCCTGAAATATAGATAGTAAATGTGTCGATGTGATGGTGGTATAGAGTGTATAAGTAGAATTAAAAGTGTTAGAATTACAATGTTGGCCTGAACGGCATCAGAGAGAAGAGAAAACAACATAAGGTCCATGTGTTTCTTATGTGTGAACCCACAGAGGAACATGAAATTCTGTGGTTCCATTTTTTTTTTTCCCCCTCACGTCTGTTCTTGCAATTCAACTGCAACAATAATCACATGAGCTTCGTAAACTACATTTCCCTTGGAAATACAAACATGAATATTATAAGGTGCAAAATGCACTGTGTGATACAGTCACCTCTCCCAGGCTGCACAAAATGTTATAGTTTGTCTGGTAATAATTCATATTTGTTCTGCAGTGGAAATGTATCCAGCAGCAAAGCCTTTGTAGCTAAATGAACGTAGACTGTGGTGTGAATGGGAGTGAAGACGTGTGGAAATACAGTCGTCGTAGAAGAGTTTTTAGCACTGTTTTTTTTTTAGGCTCACTCAATAACACTGGTCGGCAGCTACAGCAAACCTGGCTAAAAAACAAAACAAAGAAAAAGATGTGAGAAAACTAATCTGTTTGTTAGATTTAAACCACAAACATTGATTTAAGTGATGTAGTACTGGTACTGTTTTCCAGGATGATTTTTTTTTTTTGAAATTATTTGTTAGTCATATATTGAACTGGATTGTTCAGGATGATTTTTCAACAACTAATATCATCCTCCTTATTAGTTGTGATTAATTCACTGCCACCGTGTGATGACTCCGATTAAACATTTTAATCGTTATACATTCTTAAAAGAAACGTAATTCTCTCTTTGACCACAGGGTGGTCCTTACTCCTGTCGGATGCTCTGGATTTGGGGAAACTGAAGATGAGCCACAGACTCAATACAGGAAGACCATCTCCGCCCTCTATGAATCCAAGCAGCCATCTTATTACAACTAATGGTAAGTAGCGCCACCATCTTTTTTTCCTACAGAAGGGAATTCATTTTTTATTTTATTTTTTTTAAATTGAAAATGATTCGTACGATAAATCTTTTAGATAAATAACTGTGTATGTTTTGCTGTAGCCTGAAGACCAGTGTTGCTGGTGAGGAAATGTTGCACCTTGTGTTTTGCCTTTAAATGTGGCATCAGGGAGAATTTCCCATATTCTATCACAATGAAGACACAAAAAAGTCATAAAATCTTTGTAGTATTCATGTGTGAGTGTGTTTATAGTAGTTATAGCAGCTCATTCTCATAGTAGAGCACTTAAAGCCACGCTAGGGAACTTCCACTTAGCAGCTCTTTAAGGTGGGCCATAACTTTACCTCGTCCACCGGGACAGAAATCACTTTTAACAAACTAGATGTGTAACCAGAGGGAGAGGAGGAAGTTATTTATGCTGGTGTGTCCGGTTTGACTGTTTTTGGGGACAACTTTGGTTTCTCTCCCACAGTTTAAGAAACTGAAGCTGTGCCCATGGCAGTGCCACGTTGTCATGTGTGAGAAGGCCTTTGCTTTAATTTCTTCTGAGAATCTTTGCCTAGTGTAGCTTCGTTGAGCGCTGACCCAGAGAATGGCAACAGATGAAGACGCAGAGACAAATGGGATGAGGGACGAGGACACAAGAAGGGAGGGAAAATGGACGTTAGGGGCCGAGGATGAGTCAGTGAACCTCAAAGCCGTGTCTGGGCCTCGGGGATGTAGATCTCGATGCTGTCTGCCCTCTCTGTGGCTGAGTTCTGTCTGAACGATGCTGCTCGTTTGGCAGCCAAGAGTCGTCTGCGGGCTTCCTGACGCTGGCGGTCCTGAAGGTCCAGGGAGCGCTCCCGCGTAATGCCGCCACGTCCCTTGACTGGTCGCTTTGACAGAGGTGGTGGCCACTTCCGCTCCTAAGGATTCAGAATTATATATATATATATATATCTATTTGATCTGTTATTACATTGCACTTTAATTGGCATAAAAGCATTTGAATAATGATCAAAACATTCGACGGCTTTTCTGCTCTGAAAAAAAAGAAAATAATAATTGGTTCATGAAAAGAGTGTAATCAACATGTAAATTAAAAGAAAATAATAATTGGTTCATGAAGAGTGTAATCAACATGTAAATTAAAAAAAACTAACGAGTTCATTTTTTACAGTGAACTCAGTCTGAACACAATACATATTTAATTAGTGGAAAAGATGAAAACGCTGAGTTTCATTACTGCATTACTCTGTGTGACCCTTTAACATGAAATCTTGATTGAATCTCAAACAGAATCGCTCAGTCTTTCATGTTGAAATCTCAGCCTCAGCGGCGCTGGAACCTTTCTGAAAACTATGCAATGTAATGCAATGTTTTTCTGATTTCTTGGCAAGCTGCCGTTGGAGGAAAAAAAACGGCGCCTTCCGTGCTAGTCCCAGATAAACCCAAATCGGAGCATCTGTGTCACTGTTAGCATTCAGCTTCATGGAGCTTCGCAATGTGCCTTTTAACTGCTGGAGGTAAATAACGTCGCTCACTACTACAAGTGTAGCATGAAGATAATTATCCAAGTGCCCTGAAGGCTCTCATCTGTCTCCAAAAACACTTTACTGCCAGGATGTAACACGTACTCGTGCTGCTGCCGCATTTACTACCAGAGCTGCTCTGTACACAGCTGAAAACACTGGTACAGTACTGTGAGCTTTTTATTGTGTGATCAATTATATTAGTCTAATATCAACTAACATCAACTAACATGACAAAACAGATAAAAGTGAAAATGTTTGTTAAAATACTCGACAAATACAAAAACAATTGAATAATATTAATTTATAATTTTGATATTACAGAAATGTGTTGGTTACTGCTGCACATGCACCACCTGAAAATGGAGTTAAAACTTCATGCTAAACTGATGCGGTGCCCTTGTCCCTGCAGTGTAGTGATAAGAGGGATGGCTGTGATTAGCCCCCTGCTGGGCACAAGCCTAAAAACAGAAACACTAATGTTCACAGCGTAGTTTACTCCAAAGTTCATCTGAAACTCGGTGACATTTATTACTATAAGACTCGGTGACGGGAATAAATGAAGAAATGAAACATCACCAGCTTCACCTTCTTCTCCGGACTCTCCACCAGCTGCCACTGGTTGCTCTTGATCTGCTGCAGCTCGTCAAACTTGGCAGTGACGTCATCGATGGAGAGCTGCAGGAGGTCCCAGAAACCAGCCAAGTCCTGAGATGTGGGTCTGGGCATGGCACTGGGGTCCTGGAGACGGAGAGGAGCAGGGGCGTTACTGAGTCTTTGGCTTTTTAGTTATTGTTGTTTGTGGGTATTATAAGATACAAGATGGAGGTACGTGAGAAACACACGAGTTAATTTATCAACTTGACATTGATAAATGTGTACGTGTTGTGTAGCTCAGTAGGTTAGGGGGTTAACTTAATCCTGCATTTTTTTTGGACTGTGAAGTATGTATAGAAATCCATTAGTTACTAAAAGGAAATTGAACCTGTGATCTTTTTGCTGTAAGGCAAAAATGTCAGCCACTCCTCCTTTAGCTCGAGTAAGAATTACATGAGACTCATTTTCAGTTTAACACAATAACAAAATGTGAACAGTTTTCACTTTTTTTTTAAATATAGAAATCATCTACAGCTGCATGTGTTTTCACATTTTAAAAAAATATAGAAATCATCTACAGCTGCATGTCTCTATAGCAGCCACCAGGTGTCATCAAAGCTCTTTGTATAATCTTCAGATGCCTTTGAATGCGTATATTTCGTCTTTTTTTATTACTGAAACTACAACAGTGATATCAAACATTGCAGGAGACATTAACTCAATTTCACCTTCTTGGTATTTTCTCTTTTCCCAGAACTACTGGAAAAATCACTGTAAGCACGAGTGAGTTTGTAAAATGGACTAAATGCCATTTGCAGGAAATTCTGCATGACATTTAAAAGACATGAATCAAAGAAACGAGAACAAAAATGTTGAAATTGATCCATACACCTGATCAACTCTCACAGTGGATGCTCGAGATTTTGTGGGTAGTTTGCAGAAAGGGTTTGAAAAAATTAAAAATATACAGGGAGTTGGAATTCGTTGGGCAAAAGCGTCTTGTTGATGCCAAAGGCCAGAAATTAATTTCATAACTGGTTTAAGCCGAATGGGAAGCAACATTAATTCACATTGCCACTGGTTACAATCTGAGCATGTAGTATTGCCCTGGAGACAACGCTGAGTGTCAGTCATGTCAGCCGGTGCTGGCTGGTTTGTGTCTCGATGCTGTGACCTCTGAATTGTAGGGTCAAATCTGGACTAAACTATCGATTTAGGGCAGGCGTCTGCGACCTCTGGCCCCCGAGGCTAATGTGTCTTTTTTGCATTGGTTCCAGTTTTATTGTGGTTGTTGAAATTTGAATATTTTGGAAAATGGTAAAAATGCTACGTGTGCTAAATAATAATATCTCAGATAATTTGAAACCTTCTGACGACACTTGTGCACTTCCTCTTTTATCCAGCAGAGGGGAGAATCTGTACTATTTAAAAGCCTGTCACTACCAATGTTAGACTCAATTCATCATCCTGTTATCTGTGAAGAGAGATGGAGAGAAGTGTAGCCTAAAATCTATCCAATAGAGACTCAAAAGACACACACACACACGCACACACACATGCACACAGAGCTTTTCATTCAAAAATTAGCTGCACTTTCATCAGGTGTGATTAAGCGGCTGCCCGTCAGTTTCAGCATCACTCTCAGCTCCATCTGTAGAACTGCTCCCATTTGTGACATTGCTTTCTTCTAATGTATGCCGACTCTCTGGGTAGTTAACAACAGAAAAGGCTATAATTTTCCCAGTCGACGTGACATGAGAGCTAAACAGTAAGACAGCGTGCTGGTCCATTACTCAAACGCTGAAGTCCCATTCAACCTGCTGCCGCTGCACATTAACAGATAGCCTCAGCACAGGTGCTGCCTCCTATTGGAATTCCCCTCTCGTCTACAGTGGGGTCATTGGAGGCTGGACTACTGTTTTATCATCGATCTGCGAAGGTCTATTTCTGGCAGCTGCACAAATGCAGAATCAGACACGGCGAGCGCCTGCGGCTGCTCACAGCTCTGAGGACGTGAAGGCCACTGTTGGGTTTCAGCACAGCGTCTTTCCTGTTGTCTGGTGTAACGTATTAACCTTCTGTCAGTCGATACGTGTCATGTTCTTGTTGACGGAGATCGCACTCACCATATTCTGCTGACAAAGCCAGTAAAACTGCTGGAACTTTTGAGACATGAGGAGCTGAGCGCTGCCCACGGCGCTCCGGATTTTTCCCAGGACTGGACACAAACATGTAGAGAAACACAGAAACATAGGCTGGTTTAGGCTTCTTGGACTTGAGTCCAGCGGGAAAGTGCCAGAAAGTCTCGTCGTTTGAAATTCAACAGCTGACAACTAATGCTGTGAGTGCTCACAATTAAGGAGGCCAGTAATGGAAAGGCACACAAAATGGTTTTATATTTTATGTTTTATATTTCCGTCAGTAGTTACACTGATGATTCAATCATTGTTCCACCTTGATGCATGAATTTTAAATTCCATTACTTGCTAAAAGGATTTTTCTTATTTGCATCAGGAGCTGGTCGTGGATTCTACCACGTTCTCCTACAGGGAAGCTAAGGTAAGAGGATTTCAAAGCTTGTAACTTCACCACTAGGGGCTGCCAAATCCTGTGCAGTGTACCTTTCACATCTGTTGTGTGTTTGTGTGTAAATGTATGTGTAGGTTTGGATCTCTCAACTATGTTAGACTGCAAAAGTATGAACCATGTATTTATTATTGTGTTGTTATATATACTGCATATATATATAGTATTTTAAAGCCCTTTGGATACTCACTCTCCTCTGACATGTCATGCTCCTCCGCCTCTCTCTCCATCTCTTTGCACCATCCCTCCAGCCGCTTGGTCTCATTGTGAAGCAGCTGCATGAACCAGCTGCCGTCCCTTCGCAGAGGAGACATTCGGCCGGTATCAGTACTCTCCAGGCTTGGTTCTACCAGCCAGGGTTCAGGCTGCGGGCTGGGGGGTCCACTGGACGGCCTGTAGTCCTCCCTGTAACTGAACAGGCCCTGCGTGCGCACCGTACGGATGGCTCCGTACTGCGTGGGCGTGCTGGGCTCCGAGTGTCGCCCGAAGGCACCTCCGAACTGCAGACCCTTGTCTTCCATGGAGGGGAACCCCTCCAGCTCCATGTCTGCTTGCACCGCGGTGGTCACGCTGTTGGAGCGTTTGAACCGTCCGTGCCTGGCGGAGAAAGTGATGAAATGTGGGTTAGCTGTAGTTACTGACGGAGGAGAAGACCTTTGAGTCAGTCTTGGTACGCACCGTTTGTGGGCCTCCACCTGGATTCCTATGGAGTGGAACTGAGGGAGGCCTTTACTCTCAGCCTCAGAGTCTGTCACAGTTTCTACCTGATGGATCAACAACAAGAAGCTTTCACATATTATCATTTTCAGTACAAATATACATAAAAAAACATTCCCTAGGTGTGAATAGAAACGTAAACCAGCAGAACCTGTGAAAACACATCCACTGTGAAAAATGAAGTGACATTTGGTGGATGACTCTGCAACAAACAGAAGATTCACCTGTTCACTTTTACCCGTCATGAAAAGTGGTGACCCAGGCTGCTTGTTATTTAAAATGCGTCAGATTTATGTGGGCAGACACAGAATCAAAGTGCTGAACCCACGCTTTGGCTTTTTTTATTCATTGAGACTGCTGTAGAAAAATGATGCTTCAAGATGGCAGCCAGAGGGAGGTGAGACCCGTCCTGGGGTTTTATGGATTCATAAGTGAACCAATAGAAACGGACTTGACTTGTGATGTCATTTGCATTCCTACAGAGGTTAAGGGCTTAGCCGCTACTTTTGGGTTGTCACTAAATAACAAACAAATGGCCTTACAGTAAATTTGCATTCCATTTCTGCATAGAGACATAAAATGGTGCAGATTTGAACCATCAGACGAACAATATTCTTGATTATGTTTTCAGTTCAGTTACATTTTTAAAGTCAAACAGGCTGACTTTAAAACAGCAGACAACATGGTCTTTTCTCTGAGGTGTCAGGGATCAGATAGTTTTGTCCATGTCAGTAAAGTCTATAGATTTATCCCGATCCCTAAGATTTACTCTGAACCTGAAGCAGAGTTATTTACTGCTGCTCTCCTTTCACAGAGGTGAACCACAGAGGGATGTTGGCACAATTTCTACGCCTGATGTCCTTTCTGATGCAACCTTTCCATTCATTAAGACAGGCATCATCACCGAGGCGTGCAGTCGGATTTGAACACCTGCCATCTGGGTAATAGCCTGCGCTTTTGGTCCGCCCCTAATACTTTTTAATGGGTCCAAGAAAAAAAAACCCAAGTATTTTGTTTATGGAGATTAATCACACTACACTGAACCTTTTTTTAATAGTATAGTTAATGTGATGTCAAGCACTTTATCTGCTAACTGTTGTTTTTGTTTCCTTCAGAGGCTGAGACAGGTGGAGCAGGCGTGTTCTTTTACCTGTATGCCTATTGAAGAACGTGGGGTTTTGAGGTACTCCTCAGCCTTAGACACCAGCACTGCTTTGTCGCATGTCTGGACGGATGTGTGGCTGCCCAAAGACGCGTGCCTCTTGCCTGCTGCTGACTCCATGGCCATGGTGACCGCCTTGGTGCTGTCCAGGCTGTCGGTGGAGCTGTAGATGGGACGGCCGAGGCTGTCTGTGGTCCACAGACCGCCCCGCGGGTGCCTGCCCTCCTGGTAGGCATCTTGGGTGGACTCTGTGCTGCTCTGGGCTGTCACAGAGATAAGAGGCTTGGTGGTGGTGCGCGGGGGCACAGGAGGTGGAGTCTTCTTGTAACTGGGAGGATATGATACCACTGGATAGCACAAGCAGGATGAGAGGACGAGGACAACGAGGCAGGACAAGGGTAGAGGATAAAATAAAACATGAAAAAGCAAAATGTGGCCAGAAGCTGAAAAGGGCCAAGTGTCGTAGTACACCTGTGTCACACAGTGTGTGTGTTAGTGTCGTCAGAAATCATTAGAGCAAAATCATGTCAAAAAGATTTGGAGCAACAACAGTGGTGAGTCAGAAAGTGAAATGAAGGATTATGGGAAATAAAAATCTAATTTATATTTAAATGCGATTTAACCAATAATCCACTAAGACGTCAAAGTGAAACTGACTCCACAGGCCACAAAAATGAAAATCAACATTACATTAATTTTTGGGGCCAGAATGATTGGACTGTTTGACAGATACAATTTTACAAATTATCCATCGAGGGATTCATATTTTATTTCTTTTTATTTAAATTAAATAATGTGGAAAATACTCCAGGGTCAGTTACTCATATAGTGCTGCTACAGACACACAGATCTAATTTATTTAGTGCTTTACAAATACTTTTGTTAGACTGGATTGTAAGGAACCGTTAAAACATTTCTAGTTGAATAAATGATGAAATGTTAGACAAAAAAAAACAAACAAACAAATTGGAAACTGTCCTGAAGTTTAGCAAATATCTTAGGGGAAGAAATACAAATGAGTCAAAAGTTACCTAAATATTACTTAGCATTGGCTAAAAGTTAGCCACAAATATAGCAACGAAAGCTAATGTTAGTCAGTGATGGCACTAAAGCATTTAAACAAAAATATATTAAGGGTTAAATAATCGAAGACAGATAGTCCATAGATGTTGGTTTGAAAAATCAGTAAGATGTTCTTTCTCCTAAACTCATTCAAATACAATAGAAAATTCTACTGCAACGCTACACATGTTGTCCAGTCACATCTTTAAGGGACCTTTTTAATATTCAGTCAAGCTTCCAATCAATTACTGTAGACCTTTAGTGAGACAGATGTGGCGTCGCCTTATTCATTACCCTCCTTCATTATTTACACTGACAGCTCGGAATACATTACATTCTGAGGGATTGGATTGAGACTGGTTTGATCCCTTAAACACCGTGTTTACCACAGCAGACGGGCACATGAGCTACCTTAAGTACTGTACCTATAGTACCTAAACGCATAATGAAACAAATGGAAGTCTGTAAGAGCCGACCCTGGTTACAATGTTAACTACCGTCCAACTTGAAGGGGCAGCAGTTTTGTAAGACACAGTGGGTGGATACCAAACGTAGAGCACGGTGACTCAGCCCGTGCATAACGCAACGCAATCTATTTTTACACATTCTGCCCGTCTGACTTAGTTTCCAAAGGGAAAATGTTCAGACTGCTTGGTACCATGGTACCTTGGTACCAAATGTCAAAGCATAAGTCCACTAACGCCTGTGGCTTTTTGTCACAGAACTCAACAACATCACAACCGTAAGACTCAGCTAAACTTTGTTGATTTATCACCCGAAAACTACGGGTGTAACTGACAAAAAGCTGCAACAACAGCAGAACAACGTAAGAGTACAGAAAAGTCAGTAACATCCGTAGCAACCAGGCTTTACAACTTCAATTAAACTGGATCCAGTGCACGGCTGCATTACGACCACCTGAGTTTTCACTTTTGTTCGTTTATAACCAAAACTTCTAAAAATCAATCAAAATAAAGTTGTGAATGTACGACAAGTCGTCACAGTCACAGCCTCATTTGCAAAGGTAATAAATGTGAGTGCGCTGCCGTAGCAGGGTGATGATGAATACTGTAAATTACTTTGTCAACAGAGTGTAGGGTGAGTCAGCACTAGCTTGTTCATTCATAATTTTTATGTTCGCCCGTTTGGGCTGACATTTCGGGGGCAAGTGTTTTGCCTCGCCGCCTACAGTAACTTCCCAGTTAATTGTTTGGGAAAGACCCTTAATTTGGTGATACCTTTTTTAAAAGAGGTTCTCCACTCATGGGAAAAAGGAGAAAGGAGAGATCATATTGCAGTTACGTTGAATGGGCACCAGATGTCCTCCTATAGACCATTCGTCATTTTGGCTAAGGTGTCCATACTTTTTTTTTTTTTATGTGAGCAGATGAATCAGTGTAGAAATATCTGAGTGTCAGCTGCTCCTCGTGTTAACTTCTGAACATGTTCTGAACAGTTTCTTTATTTGAAAAGCTTCAGATTAATCACAAGTAAAAGTAAAAAATATATCTTAATATACTGTGGTTCAATCTTGCGAAATCGAGCAAAACTGGGCCCTAGAGCCAGAATTGGAATAATGCCTCAATGAAACTACTACTAAAAAACTACTGACTTTTCAACCAGTAAAGAAAGATCAAATTGTGCTTTAGTGTTTCTCAACAACAGAAAGTACCACTTGTATGGCACATTGCAAATTATAGATCAGCAGACAGTGTGTGTGTAACAGAAAGTACCACTTGTTTGGCACATTGCAAATTATAGATCAGCAGAAAGCCGCTTTATGCAGAGCTACGGCACTTCTGCTCCTTTGAAAGGAAAAACATCTATTGCTGACACTAAATACTGCTGCCACTTCTGAAGGTGAGAGCTGCAACAGTAGGTGTCCAAGTGAAAAGCAGGGCTTGAGCAAAATGTGCCGGAACTAATCTGCGGCCAGAGTGGCCAGTCATGGTGTAACAACCTATCTGACAAAAATATAGAGCCGCGTTTAATGTAAAAAAAAAAAAAAAAAATCTCAGCAGACGTCTTATCTTTTGCGACAGAAGCTCTGCGCGTGAACTTTTTGGGATCTTTTAATGAAATCGTGTTAATATTTTTCTAAAGACGTGCTTCGATAACTACATTATTAAGTGACTGCTGTGACATTCTGCTGCTGTTCAGTGTCTATTTCAGGTCAAGGCGATGCAGAATTGTTCTGAAATTTCTACCAGAGAGATAGAGAAAGAAAGAGAGAGAGACACAGGCATTACACTGCCTTGTGCTGTACACACAGGACTTGCTGTGGTCTGTGTAATATCCAATTTATCAAATTTACTTTTATCTCAACACCCAAAGTTTCACTAAATGATTATTAATTCAGTACTCAATCAATCGTAGACTCAAAATGTCTAGAAAGAACAGGCAAACTTAAACCCTTTAAATTAAAATAACATTTTTTGCAGTGAGACGGCAGGGTTTATACTCAGCTGACTCAGCTTTATTTTCCGAGCTGAGTCTCAGTTAAAGGTTTGTTCACAGATAAGCAGTGTGTACTTTGTGTAGTGCGATGGAACTCAGGTCAGAAAACAGACCCACGCACAGCAGATACACACTCTACTAAATGGACTTTATAATCAGCCACAGAGAAAATGTGTTGCTAATCTAAAATATTTGGTTTTCTGTCGCAGTCAGATGCAGTAAAATAGAAGATCAAACTTCTTACTCATAATTTCCTGTTATGTTCCTGTTTTTTTAATACATTTTTATTTTTCAAATAGTTTTAAATAAAGAAATAAATACATTAAAATATATATATTTTAGTATTATATTTTAAAAAAATAAATTTGTAATTATATATTATTTTCAACCTTGTTTAAATCTTATTCTATTCAAACATAACAGCCATAAATTAGTTTATTCACGGTCCTGACGTTTACGTTTGATGCACTAAAATGCAAAAAATAAACTATGTTTCCCTTTTACTGTACACAACATGTATTTATCTGGAGAAGCTGTTGCTAATTTTTCTGTCCCTTGTTTTTTGTAGGCAAACTCCAACTGACGTACCACTGTATGCTGCTCATGGATGCATGACTGAATGCTGAGATGCTGTTAGCAGAGATACGAGCTGTGGCATGGAGGGAGAAGAGAAAGGTGAAGATGAAGTCAGTACCTGGAGGTGGCTGAGCACGATCCACGCTGCAGGAAGTTGGGAGACGAAACTGAATCCCTGCAAGGAGGAAGCAGCAGCAGTTACCATGAGGACACAGGTATTTCTCACATCACATGACATGTACGTTGAAATTACCTACGGCTTCGTACAGATATGAGATATTTCTTATTTACACGGGGTATCAGGATTCTGTGAGATGAGAGAGAAACACAACTACGAAGACTTCAGATTTACACATACTTTTTTTGTTTGATTTGCTTTTTAATTTTTATTTAATTGACTCGAAAAAAGTCTGTCAGAATTTGTGTTTCTGTCTCAAATGCAGAAATTCTAATGCAGTTAACACCAACTACAAATCGATGGGCAAGGTTCAAAGCCAAATCTTCTAAAAATGTTCCACAGATATATTAGTTATTCTCCATGAACATTTTAGTAGACAATGAAAGTCTCTTCACATTTAAGTGTACGCCAAGTTTGTTTGTTTTTTTATGAAAATTGCCCATCTACAGTTTCCTAATGAATAACAGTAAACATGTAAAATACTTATTTCTGTTCGCTCAGTAAATGAGTCAGCATTGCATAAAAACATACATAACAGGGAAAAAACATGCACTGGCTGAGTTGGAAAACAGACACTTTATCATAATAACATGGTTATCTCATTCAGACCACAATTTTTTTAATTTTCTTTTTCAAATTTAAGATTCAAATTGATTTAAGTTTTTGTGGTAGACTCTTTTTTTTGGACTTGGATCATTTATCATACAGAACTTTTTTTTTTCCCCCCCATCAGTACAGTGTCTGTTTTTTAGGGGAATAATTGAGTATAGCAAGTCTTGAAAAATAAGTGAAACTTTTTAGAGTTAAAAACATAGTCTGTAATATTTTAAACTTCAGGAATCAAGATTTGACATGTACAAATAAATTTTATATAAAATCAGACAAATGAGCTGAAATAAGTGGACAAAGATGTTTGTAAAGTAGAACAGTCTATATCCAATCTTGTTTGTCATCTTTCATCCATATCCACATAGTTTTGACATTTTTAATTTGGAATTTGGAGTTCAAGTTGTACTTTTTATAAAGTTAATATCCAGACGTGCAGTTACACTCTCTGATACGTTGGCCAGTGACCTCATTGTTTGTCAGATTTGTATTATTGTTTCCCACAACATTGTCATTTGATTGTCTTCACTCAATACCTGATTAAAGCACTGGGACCTCATGTGAAGTATAACAGTATTGACATTGTAGGACGTAACACTTCTTCACTGTTGGCCTTGGTTCACAAACCCCCACCCCACCCCCATCAAACCTTTTTTTTTTGCTCCTCTGTGGCTGGGACTTAAAGTTCAGAAAGAAATTGTTGGGAAAGTTGTGTCAGCCTCTCCGTTGTGTCCGACTCGCTCCGTCTGTGCCATAGAGGCTGGGCTATTCTTCCCATGGACGTGGGCTCAGGGTGGCAGTGATGCAGGTGGAATGCACCGTGGCTTAATGTCATGCAGTGACTGACAGGCTGTGTATAGATATAGATGGGCATGGGGGCTGAACATGTAACAGAAAGAATGTGACGTCGTGTCGCACTAAATGCTGCTGATTGTTTATTCATTTGGGCAATTTTTTAGCCTCCGGCGGTACCAATAAAATCAAAGGAAATCGGTGGAGAAATTAACGTTGTTCTGTGGTTGTGTGCATTACCACACAACGAAACATCTGCTGTCAAGAGATGTCACACCTCTCACGTGTC